CCGAGCCCACCACGCCGCCGAGGCCGAGTTTCCGGTCACCTCCAGGCGTGAGTGGCGGGGACTCCAGAGGACTCGTGAGGACTCTGCCATTTTGGGGTTTGAACGGGATCCAGCCTAGTCGGAACGGTTGGCCCTGGGACCACTTCTGCTAATTTCACCCCATCTCGAGGAAGTGATTTGGGGAGTTTGGGCTTCTCCATCCTCTCCTCCCTCCTTTTTTTTTCCTTCCTGCGGGCACAAAAGGCCCATTACTCATTGAGCCGGTTGGTCGGTTGGTTTGGAGAAGTCGAATCTAAGAGGTTTCTTTAGCCTCGCTCCTTATTTGGGAGCCGGAATGTGTGATTTCACTTCTCTGGGCCTCGCGAGGGCAGCCGTGCCGCCTTGGGGCGCGCCCGGGAGGTGTGAGGCTGGAGATTCCGCGGGGACACCGCCTCCTGGCGCGGAGGAGGGACTGTTTTGATCCGAGAGCAGGCCCCCTCCTGCCTCCAGTGCCTGCGAGGCTCCAGATGGGAGGCCAGCAGACTACGGCGCGGGGTCTGCTGTTTCCATCTCTCCATAGATCTGAGTCTATAAGTCATGACTTGGCACGGTGCTGATTCGTGAGCAGGAGATGGCCACTTTGGTCCTGGACGATTGATGGAGAGTCGTAGGAAACCTTATCCTTGAGCTGGGCAGACCCAACCCTTTTCTTTATTTTTTTTGAAGGAGCATGGTAGGGGAAGAATGGGGATTCACGTGAGACTATCTGCTTCAGAAGTTAAACAGAATGAACTGGGAGGTCTGACCAGGGGCTGGGTCCCCAGTGAAGTGTGAGGTGGTCATTCAGGGTAACCAACTAGGTTTTCCTCTCAAAGGGTTTTCAGGTCAAACGAATCTCTAAAAGTGACACCTCGGGTCTGTTTCCCCTGGAGTGTCTTAATGATTGGAGGAGGAGAAGAATACTTCCTGTGTTATATTTTTCTCTTTCCTTTTAAGCCCCACAGCTAGCTGTATTTGAGTCCTCAAATGCAAAACTCGGAAATGTTATGGGTGGGACTACTGAAATATACAATCAGATGTAATAAGAACTCAGGACACTGGAGTTGTAGAGGGCAAGCTTGTCCAACTTCTAGGTTTTAGGACCTCTAGAATTATTTTTTTTGCTGTTTTCATACTAAACACTCAGATTTCTTTGAGTTCTACTATAAGCTCTTGCTGTGGGATCTTGATTGTTGTTTAGGTTGAGTGTTGGAGAGGGAATATATCAATATCTTGAACACCTTAATATTTGTGCCTTAGACTTCTCTTTCCATACTCATAACTGGAAAGGAAGGAGTTGTTTGAATTGACCATGGCTCTGACCTTGGGGATCCAACAGGAGTTAATATAGTTTAATCACAGTTAACCTGTACCATTGAGGAAGTGACAGACTTTTTCCAGGAGAGTTTTCTATCCCCTCTGAGACACCATCTGCCTTTCACCCATCAGTAGTTTGGGGGCACCGGCTCTTTATTCTCTTGGATAGCTAGAGTATTATAAAAAGACTTCAGAACAGAAGCTCCCAACTTCTCATTCTATTTAATAGATACACACAAAACCATCTTCTAAACCATCCTTTTGGATCTCAATTCAGATTTCTATTGTATTTAATAGGAGAGAGATTTAGATATTTTTCTTTGAATAGTTTTGAAAGGAAAAATACAGAAGTATATTAAATAACATTCATCGTTTATCCTTCTCAGGTTAGAAGTAGGTGGAGAGTGAAGTCAGAGTCTGTTTTGACAGGCAGCATGCTCCCAGATCTTATAAGTTGACTCAACTGTTAAATTGTAGATTTCCCACACATTTTTGTGTTAAAACTTAATAATAGAGCAAGAAAGGAGAGACAAGGCATTTGGAGACTGACAGCAGTGTCAACAGCTCTTCCATATCCAAATATTGGCTAAGACATAATTATAGATGTGGGGAAATATGGTTCAAAGAATCCTGTTCCAGAGACATATACCAGGTGTATGAGAACAAGGGAGGAGACTTTTCCACACAATGTGCTCAGGCCATTTCTGGAGATGTAGAACAGAGCTATAGGGCAGCAGCTGGGCCTCTGCTGGGTTCAGAAGTCTGCTATCTTGCAGCCTGAGAGTTGATGGGAGCTGGCAGCTGCCCGGATGCCCTACTCCCTATCTGTGGTCTGGTGACCTCTTAGCCCCATTAAGTGAAATCAGTGCTTTAAAATGATCCCAACTTGCCCTGCTGCTTCTCTCCCTCCACCTCAAAGAGCTAACATGTACATGCTTTTCAGTGGGTACTGTCACATCTCTCCTGGCTGCTTTTGCTAAGTTCTGTGTCATATTCATACTTCCAGTCAGAGTTGGAAGGGACTTGAGAGGTCATTTTATCCAGCCCCTTCATTATGCAGATAAGGGAACCAAGGCCCAGAGTAAGGGAGTGACTTTGCCCAAGGTAATGTAGCTCAGCAGAGGCAGGACTAGAACCCCAGTCACTGGACTCCCAGTTTCAGGCCTTTTCCCACTTCCAAACTAGAACCCCGGTCACTGGACTCCCAGTTTCAGGCCTTTTCCCACTTCCAAACTAGAACCCCGGTCACTGGACTTCCAGTTTCAGGCCTTTTCCCACTTCCAAACTGCAGTGACATTTGCAGACTGGCCCCAGAGCCTAGAGCCTGAGGAGCTGCCTTTCATCGCAGGTCCTCTTTTGACTGTTGGTGAGGGGACGCTGGGTGGGTATTTGGTGCCTTTCCAGCAGCAGCCCCTAAAGTTGGAGGGACAGCTTCAAAACCACCTCCGTAGCTCCATGAGTATCTGCTGTAATAAGCCTTTTTTTCACTACTCTCTCCCCTTTTTAGGAAGTTTTTTTTTTAATTGTAATATTCTTATTTAGTTAGTTAGTTAGTTAGTTGAGATGGGTTCTTGCTATTTGCCCAGGCTTGTCTCGAACTCCTGACCTCAAGCCATCCTCCTGTCTTGGCTTCCCAAAAGTGCTGGAGTTATAGGTGCAAACCACGACATCCAGCCAAGGAGTTTTTATAGATCTCTTACTTATTATTCTTTTTTGTATAGGAACATGGGAATTCTATTAATTACTCCTTTGATTAGGACACCTAGTTTCGGCCCACTTGTGTATTAATTGGTTGTGTTCCCTGTGGGGTTCCTCAGCTGCTTTCTGCTTCACTGTGTCATGGTGACTCTTAGGTATTAACTGAACAAATTTAATTAAAGCCTGCACTATCGTCCCTCTGCTGTGCAACTTTGATTAGGTGAAGCATGTTATTGCTTTACAAAACATAGAATGTTGTCATAACTTATCTCTGTTTATCTTTCCATTGCGTGGACTAGAGAAAACAAGGTCCTGTGGTTTCTTCTCCTTTCCTTTCTACAGCGATCCTCACTCCCCAGGTCATGTAAGTGCCACTGTGATGTGGCTTCCTTTGGTTTTGTGAAGTGGGGGAGGGAGATGATTAGAATTTCTCATGATTGGTCTGGATGCTGTTGGAAGGACATACTAGAGCTCTCACATCCCCATGGTGCAGGGAACATCTCCTACTTAGGACACTTCTTGCTTTGTACCTGTGGAGAACAAGACAGGTAGTATGGCTAGGTGAGAGACAGCGTCCCATATTGGGTTTGCTGGATGAAGTCACAAGATGAGGAGAGTTTCATGGACCAAACCAGTTTCTTTTATATTGAATAGGGTTACAGGTAGGTAAGTTTGCTGAGTATCTACCAAAAACTTATTTGCATGGAAGAGACGAATGTAAAAAGTGGCCTGTAAAATTGTAAGAGTCAAGAAACCTATTTGGAGAGGGTGAAATTAACAAATGCTATCTTGGGCTGCACTGTTTAATATGGTAGCCACAACCCACACTTGGCTATTTAAATTCAAATTAATTAACATGAATGAATGAAACTAAATTAAATTAAAATTCAATTGCTAGCCACATTTCAAATGTTCAGTAGCCACATGTGGCTAGTGGCTACTGAGCTGAACAGTGCAGAACAATATTTTTATCCCTGCAGAAAGTTCTACTGGATTTTGCTGGTCTAGGAGCTAAATTGTGTAACTGGAAATAGAGGGGCTCTGCAAGAGGGGAATCTGAGGACTCAAGGAGCTGAAGGAGTCCTCAGCTATGACAGTGAAACATTGCTGTGCCTCTGAGGAGTAAGCAAGTTCGCTGGAGGTGCTGGTCATATTGGCCTGGCTAGAGCTGAGAGGAGAAGCAGGAGGCTAGGGTGGTCAGGGACTGGTGGCTCAGAATTGAACCTAACCATCTTGTGTCAAAGCACAAAGTGCTTTGAGGAGCATGGGGTTGTTTTTAAAAAGGTTGGGAATCACTGAGATTGGAGCTTGGGGAATTTTGAGGGAAGGGTCTGATTTCTAGTTTCACAGACCCTGTCCCTTCCTTGGGAGAAGGATCCATGTGTGTCTGCCCTGGCCCTGATCCCTGTCTCCTGCAGCAGGGCTGGTAGCATCCACTGAACCAGGTTCAGTGTTCCTTTTTTACTTGTGAATTCCGGGCTTTGATGGAACTTGGAAATAATCTCTAGCTAAGATCTGGGATCATTGACCATAGGAGGGGAGAGAAAAGCAGTCCCAGGGCCTCAGGACCAAATGTTGGTAGGTGTCTGGGGAACAAAGGGCTCCTCTTTGGGAGGAGGAAGGCATTGGTATCTGTGGTTGAGGTGTTTCCACTACTTGGACCTGAGGGGGTGGGACCATCAGCGGTTCTTGATGTCTCTTGAACTAGGCACAGGTGATTTGGGGATTTGGAAGGCCTGGAAGAGCCAAGTCTCAGGAATGCTGGAGGCAA